TATGCCTTGACATCATTGTTTAAATGCATTAAGTGACAGCTTTTTTATCTTAGCAGGCATATACAACGGAAGCACCATGATCATTGGACCATATGTGGTTATTTTTATTTTTAATTTTTTCAGTGCTGGAGATGGAACCCAGGCCCTTGCATGTGCTGGGCAAGCCCTGCACCACTGAGTCATACCCTAGTCCTATGGGATTTTGTTTGTTTTTTTACTCATTCATTTTCTACCAATATGATGAGCCTCTCTTCTTGCTAGACTGCTTTTTTTGCAGCACCAAGGCTGTAACACAGGGCCTTGCACTACTATTGAACCACACCCCAGACCTTCATGTATTTCTACAAGCTGCTCTAGAGATGGAATGCCGTGACATAATGCCAGTTCCCTTCTCAGAGGAGGTTCAGTTCCAAATGTCTTCTCTCAGTTCTATCCAAACATCCTTTTATCCCAGCCTCTGCCCAGAGCCTGAACATAAACAGAAGAAGTTTTGTTGTTAACAGAAATTTTTTAAACATTTGTTTATTTTTATTTTATGAGTGTTTGTCTACTTGTATAAATGTGTACCATGCACATGCAGTGCCCACAGAGGCCAGAAGAGGGCATCAGGATCCTTGGAACTAAAGTTACAGGCAGTTGTGTGTCACAGTGTGGGTGCTGGGAACTGAACTCTGGTCCTCTGCAAGAGCAGCCAGTGCTCTTAACTACTGAGCCATCTCTCCTGCCCCCTGTTTAACATAACTTTTTTGTTGGCAGCATCAGGCTGAGAAGAAAGCTCAATGAGTAAAGTGCTTGCCATGCAAACATGAGGACCTAAGTTTGAATCCCCAGTACCCAGATAAAGGCAAACATGATAATGCATCTGTAATCCCAGAGCTCTTACTAGGAGATGGGAGGTGGAAACAGGAGTGTTCCCAGAAGCTTACAGATCACCTGTCAACTGATCATCTATCCACAGATCATCTATCCTAGCATATACAACAGGAAAAAAAAATCCCTGTCTTAAACAATGTGGGAGGCAAGGACTGATACCCAAGGTTGTCCCTTTGACCTCCACATGTGTGCTGTGGCATGAATGTGCTCACACACATATACATATCATATATACTCACATAGATTTAAAAATAAGAGAAAAGAAATCAGTGTTGTCTCAAATTTCCCCAGTGTAAATAGCAAGCTTGTTTTCTCCTTTGGGAACATGGAACCATCATTCATTTTATTGCAGTAACCATAAATTTGGCTTAGTTGGCTCAGTTGTAGAATGCATATCTAGCATATGCAAGGCCTTGGATTCCAGCTCCAGCACCAAAAAACTAATTAAAAAAAAATTTGTTTGGGTTGGAGGTGCTCAGTCTATTTACTTCATGGGAAAAGAGTTAATGAGTAAAGAATGATACGAATAAGAAAATAGGTATGTGTGGGGGCACCTGGAGAGACAGCTCGGCAGTTAAGAGCATTGGCTGCTCTTGCAGAGGACTTGGGTTCACTCCCAGCACCTACATGGTGGCTCACAACCACCTGTAACTTCAGTTCCAGGGGCCCCAACCCCCTCTTCTGGCCTGTGTGGGCACTGCATGACATGAGCATACTTACATACATGCAGGTAAAACACTCATACACATAAAATAAAAATAAATCAATAATTAAAGAGAAAAGAAAATAGATGAGATAATTTAAATAATTAAGGTAGCCAAAGTTCTCTAGGATTGTTCGAAATCATTCCAGCTGCCCCGTACTTGACTGACTTGTGTTAATCCCATTTCTCCCCAGTTCCCTAAATTGCTTCTTCAAGAATATGCTTGTGTATTCAGGACAGCTCAGGCATTTGCTCTGGAACCTGCAACTTCCTTCTTAACTAGTGAGGGTCTCTGCTTCTGATTATCCTGGTCTGCAGGTACTCTTGAGTTGTAGTTTGAGTACTAAACTTAGCACATTTCACAGGCTCATTGGGATGAAGTTCATCACAAGCCTTGGCTTACAGGAGTTTGACATTGCCAGGAACGTTCTAGAACTGATCTATGCGCAAACTCTGACCTGGTAAGTTCTGCAGCTTGGTGGAGTGCCCCAGTCCTTACCTAAGGGTGGATTTGGAGTTTTGGTTTCGAGGCCCCTGATCTGTTGTTTTTAAATCTGCATGAGTGATACCAAACACAGCTAGTCTGGAAACCAGGAACTTAGCATGTATTCTAGACTAGTCTTTGCCTTCATGAAACCTTGAGGATGTCAGACAAGAGTCAGCCTAGAGCAGGCCAGCAACCTAGAGATCCACAAACTGTAGACAGCTGCGGATGTCGTTTGCTTGACCTCTACTTTTCACTCCAATTTTCTAAAAATCTGAATGTTTGTGTCCCTCTAAAATTCCTTGTGTGTATGTGTGTGTGTGTGTGTGTGTGTGTGTGTTTGTACATGCATGTGTGTGTAAGTACACATGTGTTGTCTCTTAGATGCCAACAACTTTTCTTTCTTTTCTCTCTTTTTTTTTTTTCAAGACAGGGTCTCTCACTAGAACTCTAGTAAGCTAGGTAAGCTGGTTAGTGAGTTCCAGGAATCTACCTATCTCTGCCTCTCCAGGACTGGAATTACAGCACATGCCACCAGGCTTGGCTTTTTCAATGTGGGTTCTGGAGATTGAACTCAGGTCTTAATGCTTACAAGGCAAGCACTTTACCAATTAAGCTATTACCCCAATCCTCTGAAATGCTTAGTTGAAACCAGATAGCCAATGTGATATTAGGAAGTGAGGTTTTTTGTTTGTTTGTTTTGTCTTGTTTTTTGTCTTTTTGAGACAGGGTCTCCCTGTAGCTCCAGCTGTTCTGGAACTCACTATGTAGACTAGGTTGGCCTTGAACTCACAGAGATCCGCCTACCTCTGCCTCCCAAGTGCTGGGATTAAAGACGTGCACCACCACGCCCGGCCCAGGAAGTGAGGTCTTTAGGAGAATATTTGGGCTTTGAATGGAGCCATCATGAATGGGATTAATTCTTTTATAAAAGAAGCCTACAAGAGGCTTCTGGACCCTTCTACTGTGTGAAGCCTCAGTGAGAAGGTGTCTTCTGTGAACCAGGAAGTGGTTCACGATGGAATCAATGCCAAAGTTCTGTATGGTATATCGTATGCCCATGTTCCATCTTTTGGGGAATTGCTAATTTGAAAGTAGTGCATTAGCAATTCAACAAACCTGGATTCCGGAGCTGGCTCTGCCACTCACTAAGGTCTCCAAGCCTCAGTTTCCTCATCTGTAATGTTTACTTAATACTAGCTGCTTTTAAATGATGTTGAGGATTAAATGCAACAGTAGATGAACTGGGCTTTGCAGACTCCAGCAGCAAACTGCGAAGTGTTCAATTTTCTATCTCTTTAAAATCCTCCCAGCAAGGCTGAGGGTGGTGGCACATACCTTTATTCACGGTGGGTAGATGACCTTGGTAAGCTGTCAAATGCTAGCCTGTGACCGGGCAGTGCAGTACTGTTCAAAAAGGAATGCCCCACACATGCTACAATGGCAAAACAAAGTATGTACAAGGTTACCCAGCATGCAGTTGGCAGTGTTGATAAAAATTAGTAGAATTTTTGCCAAGAGAATTAACATGCATGTTAAACATATTGAAAACTCAGAACTGGGAGAACTTCCTGAAATGGGTGAAGGAAAATGATAAGAAAAAAGAAAGATGCTGAAGAGAAAGGCACCTGGTTCAACCAAAGCACCAGCCTGCTCTGTCAGAAGAGCAACACTTGGGAGAACCAGTGGAATGAGTCCGCACTGCTGGAGTTTATGCCCTATGAATTCACGACACAACAGAGCTTAAAAAATACATCTCTGGGGCCTGGAAAGATGGCTCAGCAGTTAAGAACACTGGTTGTTCTTGCAGAAGACCCAGGTTCGAATCCCAGTACCCACATCGCAGCTAACAACTGTCCGTAACTCCAGTTCCAGGGGATCTGACGGCCTCTTCTGTCCTCCATGGGCATTGCACAACACAGGTGCACTTACTTACATGCAGGGAATACATGCATATACATAAAATAAAAATAATAAATAAGATATAAAAAAAAATACATCTCTATACTGAAGAAATAGCAATGGTGGCAAATTACCCAACCAGGGAAATAGGAACATAGGTCCATTTAAGGAGTGCTTACCTTGGCCAGGTTTTTAAACCCTGGGCCTGAGTGCTCATAATAAAAGACAATCCTGGGGCTGGGAGATGGATCTGTTGGTAAAGCACTTGCCTTGCAAGTTTGAGGACCTGCATTCCGAATCCCAAAACCCATATAAAAAGGGGGTGAGGTGGAGTATGGCTGTAATTGTAGCAGTGGAGATGAAGACAGGTGAATCCATGGTCTACATGGTGAAATTCCAGGCCAATGAGAGACCCTGTCTCACACAGAAGGTGGCAGACACCTGAGGACTGACACCTGAGGTAGTCCTCCGATCTCCACATGCACACCATGGTACACACACCTGCACCCCACACACAAATGCACATACACACACGTGCACACACACACACACACACGCACACACGCACACACACAAATGACCATTCTGATTTCTAACCTTTTGAATTTTTTATTAATAAGCACAGTTGAAAACACATCTTTCTCCCTCCACACAAACGACGGATTTAGCCTTTGTGGATTTTAGAATATTCTCATTCCCTCATTTTTTTCCTTCCAATACTGTGACCAAACCCAGGGCCTTGTGCTTGTTAGGCAAGAGCTATGCTTCTGAGCTTACATCCTCAACCCCTAAAATTGTCTTTGATGATGGGTTTTAAAAGAAGACAATACAGCTGGATGTGGTGATGCACACCTTTAATCCCAGCACTCAGGAGGCAGAGGCAGGTGGATCTCTGTGAGTTCAAGGCCAGCCTGGTCTACACAGTGAGGCCAGCTTCGACTACAGGGAGACCCCGTCTCAAAAAGACAAAAAAGGAGACAATATAATAACAACAAAAAAAGAGTAGATGTTAGGGATGATGGAAGAGATAAGGTAAGAGATGTGCTTCCCAAACTTCAGACGCCAGTACCTCGATTTATAGCACATTTACGTACCATCTGTACTGTTAGCAACTTAATATTTTCTTTTCAATTATTTGCTTCTTTTTACTCATATATATTCTAAAGGGGTCTTTATTTTACCATCATAAATGGAATACTGGTACCAACTGACAGAAATCACAAGTCATTGGAAAAATAAAAGCAATCCTGGCCAAACAGTTCTTAGATTCTAACTAGATTTTGCTGTGTGCTGGGGCTGTCAGTCTAAATGGGCAGGCAGGAGGTAGGCGAACAGCTGGAGAAATGTTTAATGGGCAAGACACTTGCTACATAAGCATCAGGACCTGAGATCGGATCCCAGAACCCACATAAAAAGCCAGGTGTGGCTGCACAGACACCTGAAGCCCAGTGCTGTCCCGGGTAGAAATGAGGATTTCTAGGGTTCGTCTCAAGAGAACAAGGGGGAGAGTGATGGAGCAGGACACTTTCTCTGTGCTCTGTACACATGCACCTGTACACATATGTGCATAAACACCACATACTACATTACATTATACTCACATATACTACACTCACTCAGATTAAAATTTTAAAAAAGAGGGTTAGCAAGTGTTGGGCATTAAAACCTTTCTGGCGCTAGGCTTTTCTCTGTGGCCCTCAGGAATACTGCAAAACAGTTGGAAAGTGAATCTATTCTCTTCAGTAACTCAGTGTGCTTTACTGTCTAGTCCCCACAGAACCTCAGACCTTCCTAAATACCATCGAGGGAAGGGAGCCAAGTGGATCTCACAGTTGGGACATGCTAAGTTAGGGCATGCTGAGAGCCAACTGATGGTTTAGTAGCTCTCTGAGGGTCTTTCTCCACAAGACCTCCTTTTCTGAACTTGGGGAAGAGCAGCCAAAGTGGGATTCTCCTGGTCTGCTGTGATTCGAGCAATCCCCCTCTAAGTTAATCTCCTATGGCTTTATGTCATGGGATACTTGACTATAACAAAGTACCACAGTCAGTGACTTAAGACATATAAGTTTTCTCACAATTCTGAAGGCCAGAAGTCCAAGGTCAAGGTGTTGGTAGGGATGGTTCCTTTTGAGGGCCACAAAGGTAGGATTTTCCCCATGCCTGCCTCCTTGGCTCGTGGTTGGTTGTGTCTTCTCAGTGTCTCCACATAGCCTTCCTTCCATGTGTTTGTGTCCCAATTTCCTCTTCTTTTAAGGACATTAGTCATATTGAGTTAGAGTCCACCATAGTGACCCCATTCTAACTGAATTACTGCTTTAAAGACTCCATGTCTAAATGCAGCCATGTTTTGTGGTACCATGTATATACATGCATGTGTGTGCACACACGTTAGACTTTCACCATATGAGTTTTAAGGAGACAGATTCAACCATCTCTCCCTTGCCTCTGTACCTCCATACCCCCCATGTCTTCCTGTGTCTCTGACACTCTCTTTTTCCTCACAGGCTCGGAATTTTCTTCTGCCCTCTGCTACCCTTTATCCAAATGATAACTCTCTTCATCATGTTTTATGTCAAAAATGTGAGTCAGCTCCAAGTTGTAATTGATTAGCTTCATTTGGTCACATGTGATGTGTTGGGGATGGGAGCTGGGGGAAGGGCATGGGAAGAAACTGGGAAACTGGACACTGGAGTCAGAAAGTTGGCACCTGGCAGGGGTCATGGGCTGCTCCTCCAGCCTCAGGTCCAAGGGGTTGTATCTCTCTTCTCAGATCAGCCTGATGATGAACTTCCAGCCTCCAAGCAAAGCCTGGCGGGCCTCGCAGATGATAACAGTCTTCATTTTCTTACTCTTCTTTCCGTCCTTCATGGGAGTGCTGTGCACTCTAGCCATCACCATCTGGAGGTAGGGGATGTGGTGTTGGCTAAGATTTTAGAAGGGGTGGGTCAGTGCTTGTTTAACAATATGTTTTATTATCCAGATGTATAGACAGAGATCACTGAAACTACAGTTTGCTAATCATGGTTCCCAAGGTGAAAGGACACTCAGGGCCACGTAAGGATGACCCAGAGGTGGTCAGAAGGAAAAGGGAGTGAGGGGCAAACCTGGCAAAGGCCTTTACTGTGGTTTCCAGTGTAAAGCAGGGTAACCAGGCTTGGAGAGCAGCCACTTTGAATATTGTCAGCAGTCGGGGCCATCATAGGTTATCTGAAACCTGGCTGTCCTGGTTTGTTTCTCCATTGCTGTGACAAAAAATTCTGACCAATACCAACTTGGGGAGGAAAGGGTTTATTCAGCTTACATCTTCCAGGTCACAGTTCATCAGGGAGCCCAAGGTAGGAACTCAGGGCAGGAACCTGGAAGCAGGAGCTGGAGCACAGGCCATGGAGGAATGCTGCTTACTGGCTTGCTCCCCTGGCCCCTGCTCAACCTGCTTTCTTATGCAACACAGGCCCACCTGCCCAGGGGTGGCACCACCCACAGTGGGCTGGGCCCTCCCACATCACTCATCAAGAAGATGCCCCTCAGACATGGCCACAGGCCAGTCCAGTAGAGGCAATTCCCCAATTGAGGCTCCCTCAACCCAAGTGTGTCAAGTTGACACTAAAGCTATCCAGCACACTGGCCTTGGAGAGACTAGGGCCCTGGAACATGCCCCAACAGTGAGAGTCTGACAAAGGAGGCAGCTGTGCTCTGGGCTCTGGATTGATTAGTCTGCATTTGGAAGTAGGCTAGCCCTGGGGTTGGCAGTCTTTCCAGTCTGTAAGACCCCTAGATGCCAAATATCAGAATAAAAACTATGCTTAATTCAGAACTCAACCCATGCTCCATGACAACCAAAGGCGGGAATAAATCCTGTTCTGGATTTATCCCATATACCAGACACCATAGTCGGGAGTGGTTTCCTCACTTCTGCCAAGTACTTAAGTGTCCAGATGGGGAGAGGCTACTTCATCCACACAGAGAATAAAGCTTGGCTTAAGTGGACTGGAGGTCCTGTCTGACTTGACTCTATCCAATCTCATATCCCTTTGGCTTTACCCCATCACTCTTGCTCCATTTCTAGGACCAAGCAGCTTCCTTCCCATATGAAGGTCCTGTCTTTGGAGGACTCTCCCCATTCCCTTTGCATCTCAGCTCCAAGATCACCTCTAGACCTAACTAGCCCTGTCATCCCTAACTGCCGTCAATCCCTACCTCTTCCCTATCTGAAGCCTGAGTTTCTTTCCACCATTCCTGTTCACAGTCTGAAATGCCTTTGCTGGAGTCTGGTCTAATTGTTTTCTCATTGTTTGCCCATCTTCAAGGACTCGGTCTGTCTAGCTTAATCTAGAATCCATAGGTCCCGTCTAGAGCGGTACTGGGTACTTGAAGCACAAGAAATCTTCATTAGTTGAGTGCATGGATGGATGGATGGATGGATGGATGGATGGATGGATGAATGGATGGATGAAGAGAGTTGATTTTTAGGCTACAAGAGGAACTGGACCCATGAAGACGTCAACCAGCTTCAGAAAGGACCACTCTTTTCATGATCCTTGCTTCAAAATTTAAAAAAAAAAAGATTTTATTTTCAAAGATTTGTTTATTTTTATTTTAAGTATATGAGTATTTGCCTGAATATATGTATGTGCACCACATGTGCCTGGTGCCCACAGAAGCCAAAAGAGGATACCCCATCCCCTGGAACTGGAGTTACAAGTCGCCCAATGTGGGTGCTGAAAACTGAACTCAGGTCCTGCTCGCTCTTAACTGCTACACCGGCTCTCCATCTCTGATCCTTGCTTCTATTATTTTTTGTTTCGGTTTGGTCTTTTTGAGACAGGGTCTTCCTGTAGCCCTGGCTGGCCTGGAACTCAGGCTAGCCTTGAACTCACAGAGATTTGCCTGCTTCTACCTCCAGAGTGCTGGGATTAAAGGCGCACACCACCACGGCAGGCTCGAACTTTGCTTCTATTGTTATCTGCTCTCCTCTCTCTCTTCTTTCACCTCCAGTTTCTGCTCCTTGGTAACAGCACACAGCCACAATGTCACACCTGGCTTCCACAGCTAACAGGCTTCCCTCTTGGTGTGTCTTAAATCAAGTTCCCAAGAAAGGTACTCTGATTGCTCCCTAGATTCTACCAGGATCACTGGCCTGTGAATTCACTGCTGTGTCAGGTGATACTGCCTGTCCTTAAACTGTAGATCATACTAGCCGAGGTGACAAATGAGAGGGCTTCCTTTGAAAGTGGGGTATGGGAAGAGCAGGCAAGATTTGCTACTTCCAGATCCTAAGCCCAGGAAGGAGCCCCTGATTCTGGAATGCCTACAACTGAGTTTCAGACCACAGATGGTTTTCTGTTCCTTTTTCCAGATTAAAACCTTCGGCTGACTGTGGCCCCTTCCGTGGTCTGCCTTCCTTCATTCAATCCATCTACAGCTGGATTGACACCCTCAGCAAGAGGTCTGGCTACCTGTGGGTCGTCTGGATCTATCAGAATCTCATTGGAAGCGTGCACTTCTTTTTCATTCTCACCCTCATTGTCTTGTAAGTGGGGTGCCTCGGAAACTGGGGAGTGGGGGATAGCTAAGAGCTCCCAGGAGCCCCTTCATTGACTTGAGATAAGAATGAGTCTAGAGATGTTCTATCAGGAAGCAATGGGCGACTGCAGAGCTCTGAGCACAGGATGCTCTTGATTCTACCCTTAAATAGGTAGTTTTTTGGTAAAATGATATTTAGTATTTTCTTATCTTTTTTGTGTGTTCTACAAGGAAAATGATACTTGATTTGCTCCTTTTAAAAGCTAATGGGAGGGGCTAACTTGCCTGGCTATGTGAGACCCTGGGTTTAATCCCCTATACTGAAAAAAAGAGAGATAACATCAGAATAAAATTGAAAAAAATGGATCATGTGAGAATGCTTAGAACAATTCCTTTGGAGACTGTGAGATGTAAAAATGGCTCAGGCATTATCAATGCTTAGGATATTGGGCTTATTTTGGAGGGGGTTGGGGTTTTTGTTTGTTTGGTTTGTTGTGAGACAAGGTCTCCCTATAGCCCCAGCTGTCCTGGAACTCACTATGTAGACCAGGCTGGCCTTGAACTCACAGTGATCCACCTGACTCTGCCTCCCGAGTGCTGGAACTAAAGGCATGCGCCACCACGCCCAGCTGTTTTTTAATTTTTGAAAGGCGCTCGTTTCTGACATTCTGTGAAAAATATTTGTCAACACTGGGCCCATTTTCCTGTATGGAACAAATGGTTGGTTGATCATTGTGGTCCCTGTACAGAAGATTAGCCCCCATGGCATTAGACAGGACAGCTCCCTGCAGGAAGGCATGAGTCTCAAGGGCTCGGGCTACTGGAACCTGCTGTAGATTGTAGCGCAGTGTCTCTGCTCTACAGATGGAAGTGGTAAGATTTACAGAGACAGGGCAGCTTACAGAGACAGATTCTATGCTGCACAGCCTGTTGGTGGCAGAAGAGGCTAAAAGCCAGCCTCCTGGCTCTCCATTACCCCCTCTGCCCCTGACAGCAGCCACCATTGGCTCCTTAGAATGGTGAGTAGGCCTGCAGACTTGCTGCGTCCTCTGGGCTCATTCACTGGGTCTGCACTGTTTCCACTCACAATTCTCATTGCATATTATATATACCAGGGGAGGGTTTCCTCACACCAACCAGTTCTCCAATACCCCAGGCACCAAACTGGGGGTTCTGCCACTTTATTCAGTTCTGAATTGACCTGGAGTTGGCATCAGCCCTCACAAGTTAAGGGCTTAGTCCTACAAGACCCATTTCAAATGCTAGTTGCAAGTGCCAACTTGTCACCTGTCTTTCTGACTGGCTCTAAATTCAAGGGTCCCACATCCTCCTCCTTGTTAGGGTCCAGCTCTGCAGCAACCCTCCCCCAGTGCAGTTAAGCCTCAAAAGACAGGTGTGGAGGGTGGCTCTCAAAAACAGGAACTGAGTCATCAGCTGCTGCCCGGGCCACAAGGAGACAGTTTCAACATAGTCTGTTTCCCCCAGATAAGTTTAGAAGGTAAACAGGCCCCCTGCATCCATGACCCGATTGCTGCAAGAGCTGTCTCAGCACAAACTGCTTCCCCTGATAAGTTTCACAATGTATAGACCCTGGCATCCCTCCAAAACTATTTTGAATTATTTTTCCCACCTTCCGCATTCCCTAAACCCCTATAAAAGCCTCCAGCCAACAGCCTACAAGTCGGTAGCCACTCCTCACTCCTGAGTTGGGGGCTGCCACCTGTGATTTCCAATTGCAGTAACTCTTCTTTGCCAGAGTCCTTCTGTGTGTCTGGGCACTTCTTTCCTGATTTATCTATTCAATAATTTACTCAAATGACTAGAAGAACTCAGAAATTCTCTTTACTTATGATTACCAGTTTATGATAAAAGATGCAACTCAGGAAGAACCAAACAGTAGAGATGCATAGGGCATGGTATTCAGGAAAGGGTGGAATGGAGGCTCCGTGCCCTCTCTAGTACACACACGACTGATTAAATCATTGGCTGTTGGTGTTTCACTCAATGTCTACACTCCATCTCCTCCCTAAAGCCATGAAGGGCAAGGAATAAGTAATCCATATCTTTACTTATTTATTTTGAAACAAAAGCTCCCTATGTGGGCCAGGCTGGTCTTGAACTTGCAACCTTCCTGCTTCAGTCTAGATCCAGCTCTTTCATCATACTTATTCCATCATCATTATTCCAGTAATCAGTCCCCATCTTGAAGTCATGGAAAGGCCCTGTGTCATAAAACATTTCATTGTGAATTCAAAAGACATTCGTCACTTTGATTATTTTGAGGATTTTAGAAGCAATATGCAAGGAACCAGATGCAAAAACTAAATGTCTATGTTTAGTGCATTATGAGATTGTTATATATGCAGAATCTGGGGGCTGGGGAATTGGTCAGTGAGTAAAGTGCTTGCCACATTAGTATGAAAACCTGAGTTCAAAACTCCAGATCCAGGCCAGGTATGGTGTTGCATGCCTTTAATCTCTGCACTCAAGAGACAGAGGCAGGCAGATCTCTGTGATCTGGTCAGTGAGTAAAGTGCTTGCCACATTAGTATGAAAACCTGAGTTCAAAATTCCAGATCCAGGCCAGGTATGGTGTTGCATGCCTTTAATCTCCGCACTCAAGAGACAGAGGCAGGCAGATCTCTGTGATTGGACAGCCTGGTCTATGTCAGGAGTTCCAGACCACCTTGGGCTAGAGGGAAACCCTGTCTCAAATAAAAACCAAACAACCCCCAGAACCCATATAAAAAGCCAGGCATGGTGGCATCTGTCTGTAACCCCAACACTTAGGGGAGCAGACACTGGTGGATCCCCAGAACTCATTGGCCAGCCTGTCTAGCTAATTGGCAAGCACCGTGTTCAGTGAGAGACTGAAAAAGATGGAGAGTGGCATAGAAGAATGCACGACTTCAACTTTTGGTCTTCACAAATGCGTGCACACACTCACACATCTGCACAGACACATGCATGCACAAGCACATAGACACAAGAAATGCAGAATCTCAAGTTCTACTTCAGACTTACTGAACCTGAATATGTATTTGAAAAAAATTCTAAGGGACTGGAAAGATGGCTCAGCGGTTAAGAGCACTGACTACTCTTACAAAGGACCTGGGTTTAATTCCCAGCACCTACATGGCTGCTAACAACCATCTCTAACTCTAGTTCCAGGGGATCCAGCGCCTTCTTCTGACCTCGTTGGGCATTGCATGATATGGATACACTTATGCACATGCAAACAATGCACTCATACACACAAAATAAAAATAATAAAATATTTTTTTTAATTCCAAGAAATATTTATCACTTGAAATTTGAAAAACCCTTGTCCAAATCACAAAGTCTAGTTTGCAATATGCAATACATATGCAAATT